CAACGGCTCTCCCTGCTGGTGCCTCAACATCCTGTACCACAGCCCAGTCTGTAGGGAAAAGCGCTGAACACCCCCAGCAGAATGGCTTACCTTCTTTCAGGGAAAATCCTGCTCCTTCCTCGCCAGGATTCGAGTTCATTCTTTTAGTAGGTGTTTCCCAAGTACTGTCCTTAAATAGAGATTGAGAAGACAATCTTCTACTGCTAAAGAATCGCTTATTTCTACAGTTCAATCTCTCACACCTTCAGCTGATGTTGGCAGGAAAACTGCCTGCTGGGGCTCTGACAGGAAGAGGCAGATTGCTGTTTATAGACCCCTTTGCCTTTTCAATATTAATTTACCCAGTAATTGAGTTCTGATAATTGACATCACCAGTGTTGATTCAGCAGCTTTAGTCTGGCTCATAGGCCACCTGCAAACTTGGATTTTAAATAAAAAACGAACCCCTTTACTACTGCTGCCTGATATAACATTTCAGGAGACCTTTCATATCATTTAAAGGCTCAATACTGGTTCAGAGATTTGGAAATATACCTGAACCTCAAAGCTTCAATTCTGAAATATTACCTTAAAGCACCAAAAAGGGGGGTAAACCCCACCACCGTCCTGGCAATGCTACTGCCACTTTTGGAAAATTTTTTGAGGTTTTTTTTTGCTTTATCTCTCCATGTCCAACTAATTTGAGCACATAAACCCTAGTTCTTCTTATTTAACCCTTATGGAGACATAGTAAATCATTATTTTAACCACACTATGCATTGAGAAAAATTACATTTGATGGGACTATCAAAAACCCATAACTGAAGCCAGAAGATACTGCAATACCAAGTTCCAAATTTCTCTTGGGGTGGGAGAATTAAATGTAATCACTAATTCTGGGGGCTTCTTCCAACATCAAATTTAGAACTAGAGCTATTCTCTCATCCTATGGTTTGGCTACTTATTTACTACGACCCATGGCACTGAACCACAGCTACAGTGTAGCTGTGGCCTAACCTGACCAAGAGTTGATCTTCATTTCTATACATCCAGACAAGAAGCAAATGGATGGAAAAGCTGAGTTCAGTATTACACAACTGGAAACCTTCTTTGACCATACAGCAGATTTCACTAAAAAGATACAAGTTTACTATATAAAAACCTACTGTTTCTACGTAAAGTTCATTTCTGAAAACAAGACAGACTTGTTTTTACTTACTTTGTTTCTATTTTAGTCAAGCATCTTAGACACATTATTGTTTATCACAGTGTAGCATCTGAGTGGAAATTCTCAGCAATCAATGCCTCGAGGCATATATTCATAGTGAGAAGGGACAGTCATTGCCTCCTATTTATAAAGTCAGAGATGGATCCCCTGTCAGAACCCTCAAATTAAAACATTTGACTGCTATGGTATCTAACCGCTTTATGGGGCGCTGTGATGAGATCTCCTGAAACTACAACTGAGAAAAAATAAAAGGCTACAAGAAGTTACTGCTCAATCAGGTGTAAATCAATTCTTGCAAGTTAAACACATAACCACACACTCCAGTCTAGACAGACTCTGGAGGAAAACTAATGAGCTGTACATAAAATGTACACCAGGAAAAAGCTACATGGTGACACCGCTGAAAACTCCATCGGATAGGGAGGCTTTGTGCTACTTGGATGACACAAGACAACCATTAATTAGTCCTAAGCAGCCAGTTAAGTCAGGCTTGTGACTTTTCTGCACAGTGATGACCCGATGATAAGTACCAGGGACTGAGGAAACACAGGGAGAAGACACACACTTAACAGATTATTCTCTACAGCTCTGGACAAACCCCTCAGCATTTACTTATAGTAGATGCCCAAGGACAAGGCCTTCAGTGGAATTTATACCAAATGACCTCAAAGCAGAATCAGTTTTTAAACCAAAATGAAAATAAATCTATAAGATTCAACTAGGATTAAGAATTTTTTTTTTTGCACCCCAGTAAACTGTTTTGTACAGAACTTGTATTAAGCCAAAAGTATTACATTCCATGCTCAGAATGAGCATCTGCCTTCTTTCCCCCCCCCCCCCGTCCAGTATTGTGGCAAAAAGAGCAATGCACTATAGAAAAATTGAATTTTTTTAAGTGGGAAAAGACCCTTAAGATCATTGAATGCAACCATTAACCTAACACTAGCAAGCCCACCACTAAACCATGTCTGTAAGCACCACATCTACACACCATGAGAATACTGACTCTTCATATAAAATCCTTACATTCAGCTCACACCTCTCAGAATCAACTGCCTGCTCTAAACCAATTTATCCTAAGATAAGAATCTTGGAATGGTTTGGTTTGGAAGGGACCTTAAAGATCATCTAGTTCCAACCCCCCATTGACAGGTACCCCTTCCATGAGACCAGGTTACTCAGTCTCCAAACTGACCCTGAACACTTCCAGGGATGAGGCATCCATAACTTCTCTGGCAATCTGTTTCAGTATCTCTCCATCCTCACAGCAAAGAATTTCTTCCCAATATCAAATCAAATCAGCTGAAAGCCATTCCCCCTTACCCTGTCACTTCATTCCCTGTAAAAAGTCCCTTTCCAGCTCTTTTGTAGGCCCCCTTTAGGTACTGGCAGACTGCTGTAAGGTCTCCCCAGAGCCATCTCTGGCTAAGCAAAATAAAGCCTTTCACTTTTCTTTTAATTATGCTATTGATTTACGAATGTCTCTTAGAGCCATATTCAGGAAATACAAACCAAACAGGACATCATAGAAGATTAATACAGAACTTATAAATTAAAATGTGAAATGTCAGTATTTGTAGCCCAATCTTCAGAAAAACTGAGCTTTTGCTGCTGCTGAAGTCACTGGAAGCGATGTAGTCACATCACTCCTAAACTAAAAATAAAATCACACTATGAGTCTCTAAAATACTTCAAGATCTTTGGATATGTATTACATAAATGAAACTAATTATTAAAATATTCACCATTTTTAAATATGGAAAACACCTGCAAATAAGTCTTTAGATCTTCTTTGCATCAAAAGAGAGAATGGGATTTGCTTTCCTCAGTAATGAGGAGAAAAGTGATGTTCAAAAAGAAAGTAGCAGCCACCTGCTAGAGTCATTACAATTACACAGTTGTTAATTACCTGGTACTGACAAATTATTCTGAAGAGCTTCAGGGCTTACAGTTGTGCAGAACAGGTTGAGAGGTTTAAGGCAGGAGTGAAACCAAACCTCAAGTTTTTCTGCACCTTCTGAAGCTTTTTTTTTTTTAAGCGGAATCAAGTCTAAATTTTGCTTGTTAATATGCAGGAGAGATGTGCAGTAAAAACAAGTAACTCTGAAAGCAGTATGCAAGCTAAGAGACTTCCCAACAAACAAAGAGCAGGGAAAAAAAACCCAGCTGGCAGCAGCTCTGATCTTCTAAGTTCTGTGGCAGCAAAATTTCCTGCTTCCTTTCCCTGTAACGTCTGACTATATATTTCTGTTACAGACTGCTTTCAATCACGGTTCAGACACTGATTGCAACAAACTAAGTGCTGTCTGGCTTGTGGTACAGATTCCATCTGCTTTGTACCATCAGGATAAAGTTAAGGTAGCAAAACAATCACTCATTTGCAGAAATTGCATATAGTCACCTGTTAAGTAATGTATGTCTACGTGTAAGACCAGACACTACTGATTAATGGTAGAACACCATTCTTCCTTATAACCCCTCCCTAGGACCAGCAGCACTGAAAAAGTACAGCTGGAGCAGCAGAGGACAAGCTCTGTCTCAAAGTATAGTCTGAAATGCCATCTATTCTCTCTCACTGGTCCAACAACTTGTTGTAGGGTGAAATGAAACAGGAGGGTCTCAGTGCACTCTGGGATTAGAAAAAACTGCAGAAGCAGTTTTATAAATAACAGCCAAAACAAAACACAACAACCCGCAAGGAGTAAACAGCAGTTCTTTACACAAATCAGTAGACATGGGTTTAGCCTGTAGCAGAAATCCTAAACTGTAATTTATAGAAGAAAATAGGGTTTTTTATCTTTTCCTCAGCAATTCACCACCAGAGAGAAAACAGAGCATCTTGAAGTTCTCTTAATGCCTCAGGTAAATTTTCATGCAGAAATTTTAGATCCACTAGCACAGGAATACATTTCATTTGGAGTGCTTGTACAACAGTGGACTGCAGCAGTTGTGGTAAAGTCCTAGTGTGCAAATCCTGAAGAGACATGAATATTTCATATCAGCAACTCTTGTGATGTAACTAACAAATCAGCACAACATTTTGGCATTTGCTGCTTGCAAGGAGATAGATTGATACCCCTCTATGACCATATATCATAAGTACTTACAGTAAGGTTAACTAACAAGAAACAGATCTCTGTATCTTGCTGAAGATTACTGTATGCACCTTTAGCTATCTCACTGGCAGAGATAACAAGGAGATGAAGGATTAATATGTCATAGACAATTTCTTCAAAACAGACTGAAGGGGAGAGTCCAGCCAACTTGATTTCTGTGCTTTTGCTTGGTAGTTGCTTTCAAAGCAGAAGACCATGGAAAATTCTTGTATTTAGCAATTATTTTGTAACTTTTTTGAGTGGTAATATCCATTATTAAAACTAATTTCTTTATTATTAAGCCTCAAACAAGATAGATCAAGCATCACTAACAGTTAAAATTATTTTAACTACATTTACAGTAAGTGAAAGGGTTTTTTTTTCTTTTTATTTTGTATCAAAAGTCAAGGATTACAAATTGTATTAACAAGCAGACACAGCAGCTAGATTTTTTTTTTTTTCCTTTCTAGACCTCACCTGTTAAGTGGAAAATCCCAAGTATGTGTACTAGAGCATGCACTTACAATAAATGTGGTTTGAGGTTACTTAGGCATGCCTGTTTGCATTAGGGTCATACCTGGAAACTGAAAGCTGGATTTTGTTGGGCCTTGCACTGCAGGCAGCAGACTTTCAGAGACAGAGAAAGCTTGCACAAAGTTAACCAGCAGGTCAGAGGCAGCAGGAAGCTCACAACTCACCTGTATCACATCACAGCTTCTCTCTGCTGGATATTATGGCCTTCTACCATTCATCCACAGAGAGGTGAAGTTAATTGTGAGCATTTAATCCAGCCAGCCAAGAGCATCAGCCTTCAGTAGAGTGGTCAAGGCAGCAGTTCTGTTGATTAGGACAAAATTATCTGTAATATGTTAACAGTTGCCTGCACCAAAGTCTCAATATTTCCCCCTCCAAGTTTTTCTGTCTGAAGTTCACCACAGTACTGATGAGACATTTGATGCACCTTTTCTGACCATAACAAATGAAGATTCAAAGTAAGATTCTTGGTATCTTCGGTTAATTTAAGGGGAGCAGGAAACAGAAGAGGGGCAGAAAGACCAAGAAGATGAGTTTTGATTTTAAGCTACATCATAGAGAAAATTCCTGTACCTAGAACGAGATTTACATGAAACACAGCACTTTGATTCTATTTATAGTTTGTTCTGACACTTTCCCGCACCACAAAAACATAACACAAATATAAACACATCGACAGAAAGACCAGATTTACCTCTAGACAGAAACATTTGTACTCTGTAGGAACAATCACCACAGTATCCCTGGCATTCCAGTCCTCCCCTGGCTCAGGCCAATTGCCTCCCACAGCCACCGCACCAGCACCTCCCACACGGCAGCGGGCGGGAGCAGTGAGCCTGGACACGAGGAACGGGGCTTACCGGTGTGGGCAGGGACATATGCTGAAGAAACTCCCATGCAGCGAGGATATAAAACACAGCAAAGACTTACCCAGTGTGTCCTTTCTGGCTACAGGGCAGCTCTACCGCCGGCCTCCACCACCCACAGCACGGCTGGTGCCCCCTCAGGGCGCCTTGCCCAGCACGGAGGGAGAGCCGGGCTCCTTCGCCTCGCAGGTACTTTCCCAGCCCTCAGCTCCCTCACAGCACACCCTGGCTGTGAGTCCCGAGGCTCCCCCTCAGAGGGGCAGCACGAAGGGCTCTCTCCCGGGCTCTCTCTCCGCTATCCCCGGCCCGCACGGCTGACCCCACAGCCTCCCAGGGGGGCACTACTCGGCACAGGACCTGACCCGGGGCTGCCCCACGCCAGACTGAGCTCTTTAGCAGCCCCAGCTCGTTTTTCACCCCAAGCACAGGTGTAGCCAATCTCAAGTCACCCCCACACCCATTCACCCTCACTAGCAACAGGCTTTGTATTGTTTTTTTTATTTATCTGCTCATCATCCACGCAGGCAGATATGGCGTTTCCCTCAGTCCTGGTTTACAACTGGAGAAATACGGTCTGTCTGAAGCCTTCCCGTTTCACCTCCGTGATCATTCTATAGCTGACCGGTCAGCTGCCAGAGTTTTATGATTTTTTAGACCATACCTGTTTCCTCAGCATCCTCTTTTCTGTGACTGAAACCCCTGTGTCTGCCCACTCATCTGTTACAGCTTCAAAAACATTTAGAAAGAATACAGGGAAAAACACAAACTTGGCAGAGGTTCAAGAATACAGCTTAAGAAGCAACGTATTTGGACACTAAATACTAGGAAATCAATGTAAGAGTAATCAAGTATCACAAAGGCAAGTATCTAGTGGAAGAAAACAGTAAAACGGGTCATATAGAGAAAACAGGCACCGTTGGCTACAGCGAGAGGAAAAGCCCCACAAAATTTAATAAGTACATAAAGCATACATGTTTCAAAAATGTTAAATCTCATTTAATAATAGACATTCACAGAATGTCAACTTTAAGTTCATTATTAATTATATTCCTGTTCTGATTCTTCCTGAAAAATGCCAAAATGAGAAATCTGCACAGGAAAGAGAACAGAAAAGGCAGAAAGGTGACATTAGAAGTGAAGAGGAGGAAGAGGAACAAGAGCAGAAACGGAAAAAGAGAAGTAGGAACAAATAGAAAAAGTGAAGGCAGATCTGGAAAAGGAACAACAGAGGAGATGGAAGAGACATGGTTAGCGAAGGTAATGTTCTCATTTGAGAAGGAAATATTTGAATGAAATCATGACAGAACTATTGTAGTCTTTGCTTTTCTTTCCCAGGCCATGCACATACATGCAAACCTATCAATGTTCCAGCACGAAGAAACATAGATAACAACAAAGTATCTTCTAATATAACAGAAGACTAACAACACAGCATGTGAAGGAGCCAGCAAACTGATCCAGCACTGCCAGGCTGGATCTTTTAATCTGAAATAGGTGCATAGCAGTATACCAGATTTTTCCTCAGTTTAGGATTGTGTATATGTCTACTAACTTAACTTCATTTTTTCTAATACTTTCATCTAAATTCTGATTTTTCCAAGTGTCTCTCAGTACAAAGAAAAGCAGTATCAACAGTGATTCAAAGTCATTAAACAAATTCAGGTTTTCAACCAACTGTACCTAGCTTACAGTGAGTTCATGAAGATGATATTCCACACTTTTCATAAAGCACTAAATCCCTTACTGAGCATTTTCCCTGACAAAAACCTCAGCATGGTTATAACTACATGGTTATAAAGATCTCATAACAATGTAGATTATTCCTTAACTATACAAGAATTTGATAATACAAAACCAAAAAAGCATTAATAGCACTTTTGCTCTTTACTACTGCTGATATAGCTTTGGGGGAAAAAAAAACAAAACCAAACCCCACAAAAAACCCTCCCACCAAATACTTGAGGCAAAGCTCTGGGAAAGTATATTGCACCAGAAACAAGCTCTGGTGCAATATAATTATCACATTTCTATTCACCCTTTGAAATGCTCTGCTTACACTAAACAATAAATTTGACACCATCTCATTGCTTCGCTTCCATCTGATAATTTTTCATTGGAGCGGCATTTCCCGGGGAGAACAGCGACCTCCTCGGGTGGTCTCGAGGAGCTGCAGCCTACCTAGAAATGGCTGAACAGGCTGGAACACACTCAGGAAAAGAGGCAACCCTAAGAACCTGATTAGTAGAAGTAGCATGTTTTAAGTAGATGGTTGAAAAGACATGACAAATCTGACTTATAAAACATTTTTCGAAATTAGTGCCATGCCCTGCTTAACTTTCTTTCAGGAAAAGCAAATAGGCATTTAAGTCAAATTGCTGGACTGAGAACATCAAGATGCTTGGAAAATATCCTGAGCATCATTCAGCAAAGCAGATGACCTTTTTTTTTTTGATTTTTTTCTTAACTTCCTATTCACAAAATAGAGAGAATATTCCTTTGCTTCATGAATCTCCTTAACTTTTTTTTTATTCTCTTTACTCTCAGTGGAACCCTCTTGCAAAAATAGCCCATTTTACTGCCATTCTGTTTACACCTAAATCTCAGCCAAGGTATTCCACTGCCTTCTTTTTTGTTGTATAGCCTGGCTTCTCCTTCGGGGTTTGTGTTCTTGTTATACAAATATGCATTCCAATTTTTTCTTCCAGCTCCTACTCTCTGAACTTTCCTATCTGTTCCAGTGCTCTCCTCTATCCCTTGCCTCCAGACCTTTGTTTCATGTAAGCCATGTACCTGTATCCATATTTCTTATGGCCTTCTCAAAGGCACATATCTGAAAGATATAATTCAAGCTTTAGCCCCCTTACAGCATGAAAGAAAGTAGACAATATTTTTCTTTAATATTTATTTGCAGAACCAACCAGACATATGCTAAATATCACTAAGCAGCACCCATTCTCTCTTTATTCTCAGTTCTCTCCCCTTCACTTTGGCAATCTGCTTAGCTCCTTGGGCCAGCATCTGCTCTTCTGGCAAGAATGCTCAGCAAACCCAAGGTTGCTATAGCAATTAATAATCATTTACGTTTTAGTTTACAGAAACAGAAACTAGGAGAAGAGTGGAGGTGCCATGAGGAGGAGGTGGCAGCAAAGAAGTCATAATTAGAGAAAACAGCACAAGAACGTATTTGGCAGCAGCAGGATTATCACAGGAAGCTTCTGCAGTTCCAGAAGAAGCAACAGTTAGAGGAACACGGAGCAGCAGATGGTCTATAGAAAGGCTAATGCTTACTTTAGTTGCAGATAATTCTTCAGAATGGATGATTTCTGGTAAAGACAGACAGCCTGTGTGTCAGCCTTGAGATTCACGTGACACTAAGTCCCACACTTACAGTACCTCAGCTGCTCCTCAGTTAAACAGGTATGGTAACAATAGTCCTCTCTGCCACAGTCCCTGCAGCCTGAAAAAAGGAGAAATTCCACAGCCTAGCTATGGTGTAACCATGAAGATGCTAGCAATAGCAACGTTCGTGCTACATCTCATCATTTCGTGATGCTTCCATCACATCTCTTCTCTGAAAACCCAACTCCCAGTATCCACACAGTTAAAAAAAGATATTCTATTTCTAACAAATAGTTGCAGAGAAACTTGAAACTTCTTGAAAACCTAGGTGCCAAGCAGATCTTAAAAAAATCCAATTACAATTTAAGAAAAAGTCATGTGAAACAATAGTAAATACTTGAAATGTCAATACTATAACAGCATTTTATTTTTATCTGAAACTGATGAAAAAATAGAGAGTATGTAAGCAACTAAGAGTTGTTTGTGGTGTTTCTAGGAGGCACAAAAATGCAGAGAGAAAGAAGGAGTAATGTAGTTAGAGGAGGAATGCCAGCAGCTGGGGGACATGGCAACAGAACACCTGGAACACGAAGGAAAAAACTGAGAAAAGACAAGATATAAGGCTGAGGAGAAAATTAAGAGGAAGATGCTAGACCAGCTCTAGAGGAAGTCAAAACACAAGCACAGCTTTTAATCAGGTATGTAGCTAATAATAAAAGTTAACTTTTTTTCCTCAGTAATAATAACACATCTTTACACCTCGTGCCAGCCTGTACAAAAATACTTCTGCAGTCAGGAGTTTTATCAGTGTAGTTACCATTGCAGAGCAGCATCAGTCCCTCAGGAGTTAGTGAAGCTGCCTTCAGTTCCAGCCCCGAGACACAATGCAGTTCTTCTGCTATTTAACCAGTTTTTCAATATTTCCCCAAATCCCATCAGCAATTCACATACATCTGTATTCTTTAACTATTTTAGAGTTTACAGCATCCATTTACATTACAGAAAGAAGCCCAACAAGATTTCCTGCCCACCTGTAATTCTGATTACCTTCACACGATCCATGGGCACAGACTCCATAGTATGCTTCCAGAACTCATTCCTACCAGCACCTAGGAACACAGGAACTGGGAGGCTGCATAGCACATATTAAAACATTGGAAATAGCATAACAGGCCTTCTTAATGGAAACCTAAATCAATTTGTGAGCCACAGAGTGCTACCAGGGATAAAAGGCCAAGTAATAACTACAGCTGAGAAGCAATTACTACCTCCTGCTTGCTCTGCTCGTGCTGTTGTGACAGAAGGACATACTGGCCCACAGGAAGGTATTTACATAAGCCAATGTTTTCTTCCCCAGTCGATTCCAAACCTTGCTCAAAGCCAACTCCTAGGGGAAGCCCAGGCTCCTGCCAAGGCTCAGAAGGCACCGTATGCACTGTGGCAAAGCCAAAGAAACTGCACAGCAATGAGCTGTGTAGGTGTCATCAAACCAATACACCAGCTTTCTAACCGCAGGAGGAATTTTGTCCTGTGTCCACAATTCTCTTTATTAACACTGTTTGCAGGCAAAGAACAAATCTAGAACCACCTCTGCAGTTCCAAGAAGCATGATTAATGGAAGCTATCAGACTTCTTCCTTATCCACAGGTGTTTGCTCATGTTCACCTGCCTAAAAAGGGTAGACCTGAAAACAGCATAAAAGAGTAAATAAACACCTGGTGCTAGGAATGGGCCATTGCATTGAGCTCTTTCAGCTCCAGTCAAATTCAATGATCCACCCTGGCTCAAGAGAGGAACAATGTTCCTTTTTGGCACAAGTGCTACTCAATCACAAATTTATTTTCCTAGACTGCAGCACTAGTCTGTGTATACAT